TGTGTGTGTGTGTGTGTGTGTGTGTGTGTGTGTGTGTGTGTGTGTGTGTGTGTGTGTGTGCAGATGGGAGAACAAGAGTGTCGTGACCAGACATGACAGCAAAATGTGATTCAGCATATTTTAAATCTATTTGTTCCCCTGAGGCTAGGGAGCTGTGCCCCGAACCGGCTATTTATTCTGACAATGTGTTGTTTTTTTTAATAAAAATTTGCTTTAAAACTCAACATGCAATACTGAGGGCAAAAATAAATGTTGTAGCCATTTTCATTGACACTGTGATAGGTGGATAATATAGTTAAAATGGGAGACCAAGAAATAATGATCATAATAAATAATAATGATTGCAGCCAGGGAAACATTGATTAGCCGAGTATCCAGTTTCTTTGGAGACCTTTGCACTAAACATGAAAACAAATCATAACTGAAAAACAAATACAGTAATAAAAACAACAATTCATATCTTCAAAATAAAACTATATGAAAAACACGTTTGATTAATCTTGTGTTGGTTACACACCAAGCTTTAGCAGGCAAAGCATGATACACATGTGCCCTACTTGTCAAACAACAATATTTCCCAGGCTTTAAAAGGCATCAGCTGATGCAGAAAAACCAAAAGATAAAGATGGACACATTTTTTTATGAGCAGTAAATTTGCCTGAAGCAGACTTCTTCTCTTTCAAACCTCACTAGTGCCTTGCATGTTCTAAAAGGCTGCATTTCTGTCTTTCTGCTGAAAACGCCACACACATTTGTGACAGAGGAGTAACAAGCAGTTAAAATGACAGCTCATCCAATCCAGTGGCATTGTGTTTGGGCTGTCTTTATGTGACTTAAAGGAATGAATTCAATTAATAAACATAGCAGCACTGTGCTTATATCTCCCCCAGTCCACTTGCTATTATTATGTCCCCACTTTCTCCAGTGTCCACAAAAATGAAAGAGGTAATAATTACATAAAAAGCTCATCTCATTACAATATTGTTTCTCTTTACGTACTCAGACTGAGCAGGTGGTAGCCTAATCTGTGTCTTGGGAGACAAATTAAGGCTCAAATAAATAAATAACAAACTTCATTTCAAAGATGAATTTAGTTGTTTGGTGTCAGTCTGGGAGAATATTCTTGTTCTCATAACACTATCTGTCAACCTAAATATTCATGAAAAAACATGATTCATATGTCAGTTACATTTTGCAAAATGCTTCTGTCTGTGGCCTGAGAAACTGAGATAAGTTATTATGTAAATGCTAAATCTGTCCTACAAAGGAATGTCGATATCTTAGAAAACATGATTCTATGAAGATGTCAGAGTTGTTGCTTTTGACATTTCAACTAATGGCATGGCAAGGACTCACAGCAGAGTATCAAGCATGGTCCACATTAGTAGATAAGTCATAAATCAGGTATACATGTATCATTAGCGCCTGCACACAATGAGGAGAAACAGCTGAATTACTGATCTCTAGAGGAGCAAATGGCCATCTGAAAAAAACAAATCTCTGGTTCAACTGTAAAGCACCATGTTGTGATAAACCTAATCCATTTCACCTCTACTTATTGGCATATCACAGGGATTTGCAATCTCAAATCTCCCACGGGGTTTGAAGTTTCCCTAGGTCCCTGGTCTCCTATGGCAGCCATTCCCATCCCACTAATACTGTTGCACAACCCTCAATCATGGCTTTAATACATTTTCTGCTCTGCTAGGCTGCCGAGCAGTTATATAACAAATCTGACCTGTCCAGCAGAGAGACAGCCACTACAGTCAGCCACCATGCTGCATGCTGTTTGGCACGTTTTGTTGGAGACATTTAAAGTAGGGAATTAACTTGAAGATTAGAATAGATTACATTAGATGGTAACAGACCTCTGTTCAAATTTTAAGTGTGCATAGAGGCTCTCCTGTCTTTGCCACCTATATTCAATATTCCAACCACCATCTCCTGTGTTGTTGAGAAAAGTAGATGCTCCATGGTTTTCAATCTAATTAAAAAGCTGCACAAGAGTCAATCCTCCCATTTTTCCATCACTTCAACAAATAGAAGCTTGCTGACTACAATCCAAAATAAAAAAACTGTTGTTGATGGTACATGATTAATGACATCAAGTAAACTAAGTTATGAGATAGAATAAATTGTGTGTACGTTTCCTTTTTTTAAACCATTTATAATCTGTAATAATTCTGAAATGTTTTAAATCCTCAAAAAATGTTTCTTATTATATGACCTAAAAATGTATCTCAACAAAAAACCTACTGAGATAAGAGTTCAGTATTTTTACCCAAGGACATGTTTCCTCATTAAAAACAGGTCATCAAATGACTAATTTTCTAATTGACAGCTTATGAAGAGAAATATCAACCCCTGATTTGAAAACCAACTATGGAACAGCAGAATTTACACTGAGCAGGTTTACACCTGACTGGCAATAACAAAAGGCATTTATTGGTCACAAGTCACAATGAAATGCCAATACTTTAAAGACAACATTATGGTATGTTATTCTCCCTGTTCTCTTATACAGTATATTTCTCAGTGTGTAAAAAGCCATTAGTCTACACCACAGGGAGCCATTCTGTCTCAAAGAAAACACTGTTCCTAAAAAATCTTGCTTTTTGTTGTTTTTCTATTCTTTTTCATTATGTATGAGCATCATTATATATTTTCAATAATGCATTTGAACAATGCCGGCCACAATGGGGAATTTGGTACCCATATTATGCAGCTTCCTGACCAGTTATCTGTAATAACAAAGCAACCTGGGCTTTCAGAAGGGTTTTTTTATGAATTAAGATAAATAATTTCATATAATAATATGAGATCTTAATTTGCATTAGCCGGTCATTACATACAAACTAATTCCAACTATTTTTTCTTAAAAATGTTTATGTCTGAGTCATTTATGTTTTTTCTTCAGTTGGAGGCTTCTTCAACTTCGCTGTCATACATATCGCTACATAAGACCTTTCCTGCCCACAGCCATCAGCATCTACAATAAGTTTTTAGTTAAATGAGTTACAACAACACATAATTTCCCTCTGGGATCAATAAAGTATTTTTGAATTTTGAATTGAATTTTATTGTTAACATTTTAGGGTTTTTTTATCAGCTTCTCTGCAATATAAAGTATATTAACAAATGAAAGTGTTTATTAAGTACAAGGACTGTATATTACAATTATAATTATATATTGTTGAATGATGTGCATTTTAATAAAATCTATCTTTCTTATTTATGTTTTTTTTCTGCATAATTGTAAAACTGCTTTATAAAAACTGATAATCTTGTTACAGCAAGGGCACATAAAGTAGAATACAAAAAGAGAATTGTGAAATGTAAATAGATTCATTGCACTTACCGCTGCTGTATGGGGCATGGGGTTAAATCCACAGAGATTGCAGACAGTGTTCTTGCAATCAGTACAGTTGTTGTAATTAGGAGAGTCCTTCGAGCCCATATTGAGTTCAACCTTACAAAGTGGACAGGTGGGTGGACCTGTCTTAGAAGCAATATTGATCTGTTCTGTGGATTTCAGAGTTTCTGTTGGAGCTTTCGCTACTTTTTCTTGGGCTGATGGACCAGGTTTGGCCTGTTGAGGTATCTCTGATTTCTGTGCAGCAGGTGGTTTGGTATCCTTTGAAGGGGTTATTTTAGGAGAAACTGGAGGTGTAGTTTTGGGAGTGATGGGAGCTGTAGTGGACATCTTTCTTGGAATAGGAGGTGTTTCTTTAGGAGAGATGGGAGCTGTAGTGGACATTTTCCTTGGAATAGGAGGTGTACCTTTGGGAGAGACTGGAGCTGTAGTGGACATTTTCCTTGGAGTAGGGGGTGTTTCTTTGGGAGAGACRGGAGCTGTAGTGGACATTTTCCTTGGAGTAGGGGGTGTTYCTTTGGGAKAGACGGGAGCTGTAGTGGACATTTTCCTTGGAGTAGGGGGTGTTTCTTTGGGAGAGACAGGAGCTGTAGTAGACATCTTTCTTGGAGTAGGAGGTGTAGTCTTATTTTCATCATGAACAGCTGAGGTTATCAATGTAGATGCAGAACTAAGAAAAGATGAACCAAAACCAAACATCTTTCCTGTGACTGATTCAGCAGATTTTGCTGATGCCGTTTGTGCTTTAGGAGCACCGAAGCCAAATAAACCCCCAGAATCTGTTTTAGTTGGCTGAACTGGAGTAGGCTGTTTGGCAGGTTGAGTTGATTTTGAGGGCTGTGAGGGTAGCTTACCAGCTTCTTGTTTTGTAAGGCCTGGCTTTACTGCTGGCATGGTCCTTGAAGAAACCTGTACTTGTTGCTGTTTTTCAGCTGTTTTCTGCTGATCTGTCACAGTTGTTGCTTTCCCTTGTTCGGTAGCTGAAACCACCTGTGCCTTTTGCACAGCATCTCTCTGAGCTGTAACCATCTTGTCAGCTGGAGATGATACTGGGACTTTAGCTTCCTGGGTTTCTTTTTGTATTAAAGTTGTTTGAGTGTCATCTTTATGGATGTGCTTGTCTTCTACAGGTTTTTCCTTTTGCTCAGAAAGAGGCTGGGAGACCTTGCCTGGTGAGGGCTGTTGTTTTACAGCAGGAAGTCCCATGGACTCAGGTGCTTTCAGAGCTCTCTGCATCTGGCAGTTTAGACAAAGCCATTCCTTTACCTAAATGTTCAATGAAATGAAACATTAGAGAGGAGTACTTCAACACAGATTCTTTACAGACAAATAAAGCATGTACTAGTTAATGAATAAATATAAAAGGTGAAATAAATAACTGCTTTTTTCATTGTCAGTTTGTGAATTTAGAGAGTAAAATACCAAAATCTCACATGTATTTGCAAAAAAATGTTGCCTGTACTATTGTTAAAATTTAAACATTTTTGAATTAAAAATGCTGACAAATCACAACATGATGACTATTAAGTACCAGAATAAATGATCAAATACTATTAATTTGACATGCTAATTATTTTCAGCAATACATTTAAATGAGAATCTAACAAATAATTAAGCAAATTACAGCAAAAATTACTTTTGAATACCTCTGATATAGTTGGCATCGCATCAAAGCCACACTGAAGACAGACTGCAGTCTTGCATTCTGTGCAGGTCTTATAATTGAGTGGATCTTTGGAGCCCATGTTGAGTTTGATCTTACAGAGTGGACAGATTGACTGATCTGCTTTTGAAGCATCTTTGGGGTCTGCTGGTAGCTCTGGTGGAGAATCGCTCACTTTGGATTGTTCTGCTGAATGAATGTTATTCTGCTCAAGCTTCTCTAGCTTCTGTTCCTCAGCCTTTTGTGCAGGAGGTAGTTTGGTGTCCTTCACATGTATTGTTTTAGGAGAAGCTGGAGGTGTAGCTTTTGGAATGACTTTGTCTGCCGTGTACATTTTATGTTGAGTTGGTGGTGTAGTCTTAGATTCATCCTGCACAGCAGAAGAAATCAAAGTGGATGCAGAGCTTAAGAAAGATGATCCAAAGCCAAACATCTTCCCTGTCACGGACTCTGCAGATTTTGCTGCAGTAGGTGGCGTTCTGGGTCGGCCAAAGCCAAAGAAACTCTCAGACTCTTGTTTTGCAGGCTGAACTTGTGGTGGAATGGATTTAGCTGGGGAGGTTCCAGTTTTTGGCGGCTGTTTTAGTGGTAGCTTTTCTTCCTTTTGATCTTGTGAAAGAACAGATTTTTCAGATGGAACAGAAGCTTTAGGAGGCTTTTGTGATGGCAGCTCCCCTGCTTTTGATTCTGATGGAAGAACAGACTTAAGAGGAGTTGGGCCCTTTTCAGTCTGCTCCTGTGGTGCATCAGGTTGTCCTTTAGACATTTCTGAAGGTGGCTTTTTTGGAGCTGGTGAAACATCTACAGCTATAGGTGTAGCCTCCTTTGATGGCATACCAACAGAAGAGATTTCTGTTTCTTTGGCTCTAATAATGTCACCAAGTTCATTACTAGGGGAGAGGGGCTTAGAAATATCTTGCATTAAAGCTGTAGTTGGAGTTTCTTTATTCTGTACAGTGGCAGGGTTCTCTTTGCTTGGTGAAGGCTGTGGTTTTATCATAGGAAGCCCTGGAGGTTCAGAAGCTCCAAGTGCTCTTTGCATCTGACAGTTAAGACACAACCACTCCTTTTCCTGAAAAGCAAACACAAACCAAGACGAGTATTTAGTCATTTAAAATAAATGGTAAGTGGTAAATGGCTTGACCCAAGACACTTTACATAAGCACTTCACAAAAAGAACTCAGTCTGTGTTTTGTTCTGTTGGTTTTGATAGTTAAACACATTTTGTAAACAGAAACAGTAAAATGTGGTTCCTTTCCAATACATTAGTGCATTACAACCAAACAAATCTAACCACATTGTCACAGCTTTCCTTATATATTTAGTTTTAATGATTATAATAATCCCTCAATAGAACAATTGTTTATTATACTTTTTAATTTAAAAAGTGTAACAAAATAAAAAAATAAAAATATTTGACTTCTATTTTGTAGTAGCAGCTACAAAATAGAAGTCCATTTGTTTTTGTTTGTTTGCTATGTTCTGGATGATTGAAAATTAATGCCAAAATGTTTACCTTCACATTTGGAATTGGACTAAATCCACACTTGTTGCAGACAATGCTTTTACAGTCAGTGCAGGTGTTGAAGTTAGGGTTTTTAGAGTCCATGTTAAGCTCCATCTTGCAGAGTGGACAAGTAGATCCACCCAATTTGAGGGCATCCTTGGGAACCTCTGGTTTTGCTGAGTCTTGTAATTCTATATCAGCTTTGCTCTGTTTTATTGCTGAAGGCTTATGCTCTGGAGGCTTGCCTGGTGTCTTTTCTGGTTCGGTCTGTCGCTCCTGTTTCTGTTCAGCCTCCCTTAGTGGAGGCTTCTTTTGAGAAACTGGAGGACTGGACTTTGGAGAAATCTGTATTCCTGATGTCTTGTCCAAAACTTGAGGAGAGGGTTTCACAAGCTGATCTGCTGTTTTTTTAATCTCTTCAACATTTTCCTTCGTCTGTTCAGAAGTCACTTCAGACGGTTTGAAACTTAATGGAGTTTTCTTCTGAACTGCATTTTCACCTCCTGTGGTGACAGAAAGGGCTTCAGCAGGTATTGGTTTTACAAGGTCTGAAATAGCAGGCTCTGCCTTTTTGCTTTGAGGTGCAGAGGAAGTTGGAACATCCCCTGCAGGTGGCAAACTGGGCTTCTCTTCTTTTGTTTGGCCTGAAACACCAGCTGTTTGTAAAATCTCCTCTTTGATTTGTGCTGCATCGTGTGTTGAACTGTCCCTCTGAGTTTTGTCTATTACTCCCACTTTTTCAGTGGAAATAACATCTTTGTTTTGATTGGCAGTGACATCTTTTTTGGAAGTAGCAGGTGAGGGCACACCGCTTGGTGATGCCTGAGGTTTCATAAATGGAGGCTGCCCTGATACATCAGCTGCGAGAGCTTTTTGCATCTGACAAGTCAGACACAACCACTCTTTCATCTGTAGAAAAACAAAAAACATTATTTTTTTAGTTGTTGTTAATGACTAAAAATTAGTAGAGCAGAACATATTAAAATACTGTATGTTACTGTCTTAAGTATTTCAATTGGTAGTACAGTTCAGCATCAGTTAACAAACTAACACAACATACTAGGGGTGTCCCGATACCAGTTTTTCTCAAACCGATTACTAGTACTTCAGTTTGGGTACTCGCCGATACCGAGTAACAATACCGAGTGCTTACCGAGTTAGACCTTAAACACTTCAAACTGACATTAAAAACACATTTATTTTATTCAGAATAATATGGTTCTCCTTTCTTAAAAGGCCCATAGCCCCTCTGTATCATTCAAATATACTGCATGATTTATACTGTTGCAAATTTTTAAGTTTTTTGTTGTCAACTTGAATGCATTTCTTAAATATGGATCAGACAACTTTTCACTGGTGCATCGACTATCAAATCCAGTGTCTGTATTGGTCCAGAGTATTGGGACATTTTGAATGAGTACTTGTAAAAATGCTTGTATTGGGCCCGGTACCAATACTGGTATCCCCAGCAGAGGTGATATCGAGACATTACTATAATATACTTACTGTAGTATGCTGGATTATAAAAACACACATAATATAAATAAATCCTGGGTGAATTTCACTTACCTCTGACTGATTTGGCATAGGATTAAATCCACACTGGTCACAGACTATGTTCTTGCAATGAGTACATGTATTGTAGTTATGTGGCTCCTTGGACCCAATGTTTAGTTCAGCCTTGCACAGTGGACATGAGGCCTGGCCTGGTTTGACTGCAGATTTTGAGGCTTCTGTTGTCTTTGGAGGTTCTGGTGGAGCATTGTCCACTTTGGCTTGTCTTACATCAGTTGTCTTGGTCTGATCAAGCTCTGGTTTTGTCTTTTCTTGAGCAGCATGAGATTTAGACTCTCTCGCTGGGGATAATTTAGGAGAAACCGGTGGAGTGGTTTTAGGCTGATCCTGAACTGCTGAGGTAATGAAATTAGATGCAGAGCTGAAAATAGAGGAACCAAAGCCAAACATTTTTTCACTTGCAGACTCTGCTGACTTGTCCACTTCAGGCTGAGTTTTACCACCACCTAATGCAAAGAAGCCTCCTGAATCTTTCTGTGGTGTCGCAGCAGCATTACTTTGCTTCCGTTCAGTCGATCTTGTTTGACCTGGTGATTTGTCTGGGCCGGATGTTTTCTGTGGCTCTTGTGTTTTTATCTGAGAAGGAACTGGACTGGCTTGTTTCTGCACAACTGGCTTGTTAGCAGTCTCAGATATATCTGGCTGTGCCTTTGCTGACAGTTTCCTTTGAGGTGACTGTGGTGCTGATGACTCTTTCTTTCCAGGCTCAGGTGTGCTAGGGGTAGACAGCTGCGATTTGAGAGAAGCCATATCTGGGGCCTCTGTCTCTTGAAGGGTCCGCTGCATCTGACAGGTAAGACACAACCATTCCTTAACCTGAAAAATAAAAAAATAATATTATGATCAGCCTCTATTTGATAATGACATGTGTCTAAGTATCATAATTATGATACAAATGACAGTCTTAAACAGCTTGTCAAGGTTCACATGAAAATTTATTTAACCTATTTGGTCTTACCACTGTTTCATTTGGCCTGGGGTTAAATCCACATTGGTTGCAGACAGTATTCTTGCATTGAGTGCAGTTATTGTAGTTGGGTGGATCCTTGGAGCCCATGTTGAGTTTGATCTTACACAGTGGGCAGGTGGATTGGCCTGATTTGACACTTTCTTGAAGACCAGCTTCTGGATTTGACGATCCTGGTGGTGTTTTGTCCACTTTGGGTTGTAGTGATGGAGATGTCTTTGTCTCTAAGGATGGCTTCTGAGGCTCACGTTTCTGTGAGGCAGGAGACTTGGTTTCATCTGGTTTGGGCTTTAAAGATGGTTGACCCTCTGCTTTCTGGGGCTGATCTGGTTTCTTTTCCTGTTCTACTTTCTGCACAGTAGATTTAGATTCCTTTGCAGGAGACATCTTGGGGGGCCCCTTGGGAGAAACCGGTGGTGTTGTGTTGCTGATGGAGTTTAACATAGAAGAGGCTGAGCTAAATATGGAAGAACCAAATCCCAACATCTTCCCACTCACTGCCTTTGTCGCTTCAGGCTGAGATTTAGAATCACCAAAACCAAACAAGCCTCCTGACTCTTGATGTGCTTCAGGAGTAGCGTTACTCAGTTTGCGTTCAGGTTGGCTTGGCTGATCTGGAACCTTCTTCTGAATCGGTTTTGTTTTTTCTTCAGTTGATTTTTGATCTGTGGTTTGTTTCAGTGAAGCAGCATCAGCCTCAGATAGTTTTTTCTGGGAAGAGACAACCTTTGAGGTCTCCTTTGTTTGTTCCACAGGGTCAGGACGGTCTTTTATTTGAGGAGCAGTCAGATTGGAATCTTTTGGCTGAGCAGGAGCAGATATAGGAAATTTATTGGGCGATGTTTGGGACTTTAAAATGGGTGGTTCCAGAGGGTCAGATGTTCCAACTGCTCTTTTCATCTGACATGTAAGACAAAGCCACTCTTTTACCTTGAATAAAGGAGATAAAAGGTGAGTTAATTCAGAATTAGGATTTAGGGAAATTGAGAACATGAAAAATAATTCCTAAAACTCCTCAATTGGTCTGTTAGTTTATACATTTATTAAAAAGGTGGCAAAATGTGATTGAAATTAGGAGAAAAGAAACTGTATGTTTCTGTACTTACCTCTCCAACAGGCATGGGGCTAAATCCACACTGGTTACAAACAGTGGTTTTGCATTTAGTGCAGGTGTTGTAGTTTGGAGGGTGCTTCGAGCCGATGTTCATCTCAGTCTTACAAAGTGGACAGGTTTTCTGGCCTGCATCTGGACCTCTTTGAGAGACTTTTGACGGCTGTGGTGAAGCATTTCCATCTTTGCTTGGGGGAATCTGGTCAGATTTCTTCTCTGGCTCTGGTTTCTGAGGAAGAGGTTTTTTCTCCCTGGCTGGTGACATTTTAGGAGAAACTGCAGGTGAACTTTTTGAAGAAAGATTGGACAGAACAGACATTCTACGAGAGCCTGGTGGTGTCGTTTGCGAATCTTCCTGAACAGCAGCTGATATCAAACTGGATGCTGAGCTGAAAATGGAGGAACCAAATCCAAACATCTTTCCACTCAAGGACTCTGTTGATTTTGAAACATCAGGCTCTGTTTTAGGATCACTAGGAGATTTTTCTGGTTCATGTTGTGCATCTGGTGTACCTTTCTTGTGTTCAGGCTGATTCCCCTGGTCAATCTGTTTTTGTGTTTTCTGACTAACAGTTAGGATAGGCTTAGTTTCAGGTCTTTCAGGATCTTTAGTATCTTTAGTTCCAGATGTTACTGCCGCACTCTGTGCCTTCTGAGGTGAACCTTGTGTGGTGCTCTCCTTCTTTTGAAAAGAAACAGGTACTGGGGCTTCTGTTTTTGTTTCAGATTTGAGTAATTCTTTCTTTTGATTTTCCTCTCGAGTCGGAGCTGTTATTTTCTTATGCATTGGAGATGAAGAAGTTTTGTTGGTTCCACTTTGTGGTTTCACTGGAGGTCCTGTGAGTTCAGATGCACCAAGAGCTCTTTGCATCTGACAGTTTAGGCATAACCATTCTTTAGCCTATAGAAGCATACATAAAAGATAGAAAACAAATTATTTCCAACACACTTGTGTAAATTCTGTAGTGATGTGCAACAGAAATATAAACCTAGTTCATAACTTCCACATGTTCATACTGGTACTTAAACGAACTTGTATTTTTTGTCAATCAATATTTTAATATTGCTTTCACCAAGAAAATCACGTGGTTAATCTTGATATTTAATTTAGTTTTCACAAGAGTCATTCAAAGACACTAAGCTAAAAAGATACTTTGTTTTTAAAGAAGACAAAAAATGATAGAATGTCTTTGTGATTACCTCTGACACATTTGGCATTGGATTAAATCCACACTGGTTGCAGACAGTTTTCTTGCATTCTGTGCATTTATTGTAGTTGGGAGGATCCTTGGAGCCAAAGTTGAGTGCTGCCTTACAGAGCACACAGGTAGATTGACCTGCCTTTGAAGCATCTGAAGCCACTGGAAGTTTCAGAGGCTCTTGTGGCCCTTTTTCTACTCGAGGTTGTAGCAAAGGAGAGGTCTTGGGTTGTTGAATCTGTTGTGGTTTCTTCTCCTGCTCATGCTTCTGAACAGGGGATGATTTGGTTTCTTTTGCAACTGGCATTTTAGGAGAAACAGGTGGCGTTGTTTTTGATTCGTCTTGTACGGCTGAAGATATCATAGTAGATGCAGTACTGAAAATGGAAGAACCAAAGCCAAACATCTTTCCACCAAGTGATTCAGCAGCTTTTGCACTATCAAACTGAGGTTTACTCTTCTCTGGTCTGGTTTGGCTAGTGGGGTCTGCTGGTTTTTGGGGGCCGGTCTTCTGAACTTGATGTGCAATTTTTTGGCCAGCGTCTGAACTGACATCTTTCGGACTTTTGGACCTTGGCTGCTCGGCTGGTTTTGGGGGGTTCCGTTGAGGGGAGCCTAATGGTGAGCTCTCCTTAGATATTCCAATTGTTGATATGTCTTTCTGTTGAGAAGGAGTTTCCTTATTTTGTGCACTAGCAGCTTTATTTGGTGAGGCCTGTAGTTTCATCTTGGGAGTTCCTGGAGGCTCAGATGCCCCCAATGCTCTCTGCACCTGACAGTTTAGACATAACCACTCCTTCACCTGCAATAAATCAAACATTACACAGATAAAAATTAGATCAGTGTTGTCGCAGCTTTAAGGAATGCATGCTTTATTTACAAAAACTATGTATAATCATTGTCCTTGAATCTTTTTATTCATTCAAAAAAATGTGGAATCACTTCTCAAAGGATGTTCTTTTGATCATTAATTTTGTATTTAAAAATATACAAACATGTCATAAAACTACAAATTTCCACCCTTATTGTAAGAAACATATACATTATTTTAGATTAAGTCAATGACAAAAAAATAGAATCATTCAGATTTAAGGCAGGCAAATTAAATAATAATTTCTAATCATTTTAATTGAAAGAACGTCCTCCAGAAGTGGTTATTCCAATCTTTTCGTTTTTTTTTTTTTTTTTTTTTTTTTTTTTTTTTTTTTTTTGTGTGTGAGGGGCTGTATTATCTTACCTCCTGAACATTTGGCGTGGGATTAAATCCGCATTGATTACAAACAGTGCTTTTGCACCCGGTGCAGGTGTTGTAGTTGGGGGGATCTTTAGAGCCCACATTAAGATGCACTTTACAGAGAGGACAAGTCTTGGAAACAACAGGTGAAGCTGAAGCTTTCTTTGGCGGTTCTGGTGAAGGTTTGTCTGCTTTTGGCGCTCCTGACTTTGGACCCATGGCTTGCTTTGGCTCCTGCAGTTTCTTCTCTTGTTCTTGTTTCATTACTGTGGGAGATTGAGAGTCCTTTGCATGTGACACTTTAGGCGAAACTGGAGGTGTAATTTTGGGCTCATCTTGAACAGCTGAAGTCATCAAAGTGGAAGCAGAACTTAAGAAGGAGGAACCAAAGCCAAACATCTTTCCAGTCATCGATTCTCCAGGTTTTGCTGTGTCAGTTTGACTTTTAGGACCACCAAAACCAAAAAATCCTCCAGAATCTTGGTTTGTGGCATTTCCCTGCTTTTGCGCAGTTTGAACTGTCTGCTTTGTTTGTTTCAGAGGACCTGCCTTCTGGTCCTCCTTTGGTGTTTCCTGACCAGCAGCTGGGCTCGCCTCTTTATGTCTGTCTAGACCTTCCGCCTTGGCAGGTAGTGTTGGTTGTGTTTTCTGAGGGGACCCTTGAACAGACATCTTTTGAGGTGCAGATTGGGCTGCAGTTGCTTTTTTAAATGAACTGGCTGAGGATGTCTCTTGCTGTGGTTCAGCTCCTCCGGCAGCTCGTTTCACTTGGCAGTTTAGACAAAGCCACTCTTTTCCCTTAAAAAGAAAACACATAAATCAGCTATAAATGAACACTTATGGCTCAAACATAAAATAGCCACAGAAAGGCAATGAGTGGAGGTGACCTATTCAGGACACAACAAGAAAGACTTGTTAAAAATGATGGAATACAGTGCGTAAACTGTATGGGGTTTCACTGACACAAAAATAAAGGAGTCTGAGCTAATGACCCTTATGTTATTCTATTCAGATTCACATTGTTACACCAGTCAGCAAAGTTAGGTTTTATCATTTTAGATTAAAAAAATCATAAAAGATGGTAATTTAATTTGGTTTTTCCATATAATTATTTGGTTGAGCCTGTTCTGAAATTTATAATGCTAAGCTAAGGGGAAAAAATTGAGGCAAAGCTACTAGTTCTGCACTTTAGCCCACACATACATACTGCAAAGGTCTTGTGAAATGTACTGTGTATTTTATTCTAATCCTGGTCTGGTACTGTTCCAAGCATTTTTATAAGTGGCACAACAAGATCAAATAGCCTTGGACCTCCTTGGCAAGGTTGATACTAACTGTGCATTGAATTACAGGGTCAAGTGTCAAGTCCTTTGTGCGTCAGGTAGCGTTGAGGCTGCCACGTCTGTTTACTCTGCACATGGTATTCCCTACAATACCTGTAAGTGTGTGTTTGTGTGTGTTTAAGTGCAAATTGTGTGGTTTAGTTTGAAAAGCACAAAATAAATATTTTTTAATCAAAACCAACCATCAGTTATTGACACAGTGTGAACGGGTAATGAGTTCTTTAAAAGCAGCTTTTTAACTTGTTAAAAAAAATTTAGGCAGGTAATTAACATCATTGGCAAAACAAATGCATTCATGTCAAGCTGTACAGATTGTTTGTAAATTACACAGATTTTCCCTCATATAAGAGATCTCACAGATTTTTCAAAGTCTCGGATTTTTTTCAAAAACACAGCTTCAAAATAATTTCACATCTCAGAGCCTATAGGACATAATGAAAGCAAAATCATTATTAAAATTAACACCTACCAACCAGCTCTGTTACTAGCAATAAGTTCACCACCTCTCATCGTCCTCCTTTCCCTGCTCCTCTGCACTACAGATGCTGTTTACTCCCCCACGTTCTTTCTGTCTCTGGGGCTAACAGTCTGATTGTCCCCCCACCCACCATTGTATATGAATTTTTGAGGGTCAAGACATAGGTGAACATCTGAAGGGGTTGACATGTATGCAAATGTAACATACCGTATGCATGATGGAGTGCCATAACAGAATAACTGGTACATTTATAAATTTGGAAAAATTATTAAAGCACTTCATTTCTACAAAACCAGAAATAATTGGTAACAAGCACTTTTTAAATATTTTACATACTGTATATTTTTATGTATCATTCAATGTTTCTACCATTAATCGATTCGGTGAGCGCTACGGCTTACCTCTTTTACATTTGGCATTGGGTTAAATCCACATTGATTACAGACTATGCTTTTGCACTCAGTGCAGGAGCTGTAGTTGGGAGGATCCTTTGAGCCCACGTTGAGCCCCATCTTACAGATTGGACAAGTAGATTGGCCTTTGTTAGGAGCACTGTGGGAGGTTGAAGTCGCCTTTGGAGCCTCTGCTAATTTACCCTGGCCTGCTGACTGAGCTTTTGCCTCCTGAGAAGTTTGTTGCTTTTTTTCTTGCTCCAACTTTTGGCCAGTAGCTGATTTAGTGTCCTTTGCAGGTTGCATCTTAGGAGAAACCGGTGGAGTGGTTTTGGATTCGTCCTGTACAGCTGACACTATCAAAGTAGATGCAGAGCTAAAAATGGATGAACCAAAGCCAAACATCTTCCCAGTCACTGTGTCATCTGCTTTTGCAGGTTCCTTTTTGGAACCACCAAAACCAAAAATCCCTCCTGAACCCTGGTGGGGAGCAGAGGTGGCACTGCTTTGCGTCTGTCCAGTTTGACTGCTTAGTTGTGGTTTTTGAGGTCCAAGTTTTCTCTGAGTCTCAGGTGTCATTTTCTTGGGAGATGCTGGACTGACATGTTTTCGATTTTCTGGTCCTTTTTCAGCTTCATCCTTCAGTGGCACGTTTGTTGATTTCGACTGCATGTTTTGCGGTGAACCTGGTGCTGACATTTCTTTTCTAATGGGTTCAGCAGAAGCTGGTGTCTTGGTCTGTGAAGCAGAAATTTTGCTTGGTGGGGGTTTTTTCGTGGGAGGTCCTGGTGGTTCAGTCGATCCTTGAGCTCTCTGTATTTGGCAGGTAAGACAAAGCCACTCACGGCCCTGCATGAAAAACAGACATGCACATAATGTACATAAAGTAACTGCAAAGGAGAGAAAAAAGCCACCACTTTCAAAATTTATTAAAAACATTTAAAAATAACCTCGAAAACTCAAAGCACTAAAAGTATGTGAACATAGGTGATTTAAAAGGACACAACACTAAAATAGCTACACAAATGAAACTGTTTCTTCGCTATTTCACGTGATATCAGGGTAGTTGTGGAAACGTTTAAAACATGCACAGTGGATTTGGTGAGTGCCATGGAGGTATATATCAAGTTATTTTACATGATTGTTTAATGAAATTAACATAATTAACAAATATATTCATTTATTGTAAAAATCTTACAAAAAAATGTGACACAAATCCAGTTGGGCTTGCTTCAATCAAACAGATGCTATGACAGATGTGAGCTGTATGGACGCCATTTTTGCTCCTCCATGTTATCACAGATGCTAACAGTGGGCAGGATAGTGTGGCTCACTCTATTTAAGTCTATGGTGAGTGCTTAAATCAAGCATTATCTGCTGTGAAGTATCATGTTAGGAGAATATCTATCAGTTTGATTTGCACAAAAAAACATAACAAAAATGAATTAAAAAGATTCAATACTTACATCAGAGTCTGGAGGGCTGAAGCCACACAAGCTGCACACTTCCAATTTACACTGAGTACAGGTTTTATAATTAGGTGGTTCCTTGGCATTAATATTAAGTTCAGCCGTATTACAGACTGGACAAAGAGTTTTAGAAACTGCTTTGGACTGAGATCTGGCTCTGGTTGCTCCCACCGATGGAGACCCTGCTGGAGTAAGGTCAGGTGTGCCTGCTCCCTTAATGCCATGTTGTTTATCAGAGGACTGAAGCTGGGGTGTGGCTCGGGTTCCTTTTTGTTGTTGACCTGCCTTAGTTGTGTCCTGTTTTTGCTGTCCAATTTTTGGTGACTGCTGCTGTTGTTGCTTTTCTGATTCTGACCCAACTTTTGTGGGCCCCTGTGCAGGACCTTGTTGCACTTTTGTCTTTGATGGAGCCTGTTGTCTGTCTGGTGGGATTTTGGGAGATTCGGGTTGGGCTCCACTCTTAGCCACTTGCTGAGCTCTAGGCTTTGGTGAACCCTGCTGTGGTGGGCCCTTGGGTTGTGTTTGGGGGCTTTCTGTTGCTCTACTTGACGCGGCCTGTTGTTGTCCAGTCTGTCGATTCCCCTGCAACTGTGGCGAACCTTGTTTAGAAGGAGGCTGAGACTTTTGCATAGAGGGACCTTGGCCTGATTTTGTGGGGCCTTGCTCTTGTTGAGCGTCCTTTCCATGAGCGGCTCCAGTCTGCTGCTCTCCAGAGGGCTTCTTCCCTTGCTGAGACAATTTTTTATCTCCTTCACCATCATCTCCAAACAGACTGAACTTGTTTACAGCAGAAGACATAGCATTTAGGGGGTTGGCCCCGCTAAGAAATTTGGAGGAGAACATTTTGTCTTCCTTCTCTGCTTTGTTGTCGTCGTCCTCCTCACTGGAGCTGAAGTCTACAGGACAGTCAGAGTCAGAACAGGAACTGTCTCCTCTTTGTCCTGGCTCTCCAGTAGAGGCCTGGGCTGGAGCTGCACCTGTAGAGAGGGCATCTACAGCCTTCCTGCTGTTGCTGCTACTGCTGCTGCTGCTGCTGCTGCTGCTGCTCCCTGGGCTCTCCTCAGGCTCAGCATCCACATCAGACTTCCTAAAAGCATGACAAAAAAAGGTAAGTCAGATGTAAGTTGACAAAAACAAATCAGGGGATGTAATGACAAGGATTTTTTAACAATCCTACATGCAATAAAATCAGTCATGTTGATTAATAAAAGAAACTACTGTATATGTCTAATGAAAGCAGGGAAACCAGATTTGGAGGACACATAATCATGTATTCACTGATTAAATGTCGTGGACTTTCCACCCTCAAGTAATCACTCATAACTCAAGACCATCAATGAGTTGCATAATGTGTGGTGAGGACTGAGGTGCATCCTTATCTAAATAAATCTATTTTGCGACAGACGGTTTGAACTTTAAATCCAATGAACGTTGCAACACAACAATTACAATATGTGCTTTATCTCAGCTGGAACCATTTTCAATTGGAAAGAAAAGACAGACATATTTTAAAGTTCTTCTTTTTCCACATTTAAATCATTCAGTTGGGGGTCTATGTACAGTGGAACTTTTATTCTTTGGTCTGAATTCAACCTTACTGTAACTCTACAAGCCCCTCTTTCACCCCTTTTCTGAAGTGTCTCTCAAAGCAGCTCATTTTGAGTTTGTTTCTATAAACCCAAACAAGGCACCCCCCCCCCACCAGCTTCCAAAGCAGTCCATTGTAGCTTGATAGAGGGGTTCATGACTATAGAGGTGCAAAAATATCTTGTTTACAACTTAATTAAAAGATGTCTACAAGGGAAGACTTGTCCCTTATGTTAGAGTCAGAGACTGACCTAAAGCGAAAGGAGAATGAAGACAACATAATTGTAGTAAGTCCATACCTTATGGCAGTTCTGTCACCAATACTGTGACAGAAAATGTCATAGAAAAAAGAAAGAAAATTGAACAGATTGAAAAATATGACAAAACGGAATCGGAATATAAATATATCTATGTAACACTATGAGAAACTAAATTCAATGTCTCTGCGCTCCTGGAGACTCCAAGTAGCCTACAGCAAAAATGCATTTAATAGCTAAAAAAGTAGATTTTGCATATGTCCCCTTTAAGTGTTTTATTCTCTGGTTTGATTCAGGACCAGGTTCAGTGTATGAGCCGCTCTGTTGATTACGGATAAAAGAGAAATGCTCTCCTTCCAGCAATGCAATAACAACTAATGTGCAACAACCAGGAGGATGCCTCACTTAATAAACCTCTAAGTAAATAAAGAAATGCAAAATAAATAAACAAATAAATAAAAACAATTTAAATGTCTGGCATAGATTTTTTTTTTTATCTCTAGTCCAGATTAAAACCAATAATCCCATGTTCATCACCTGATTGTGTACAAGTGTGGAATCACACGCAGGACAGGTTTCACATCAGTGAGACGAGTAAACACAGGGGAATCTAGCTCTCTCTGTGGAGGAACTGCAGGCACATCCGGGTAGGGGCCCAGCTAATGCACACACTGAACACTTTATAATACTCCACACATAATAAACACCTCAATATGCCAAGGAAAAAGCAGCATGAAGGCGATTGCGGGTCGGTGTTTGACCAAACTACACCTCTCTTGTGTTACAGCTGTTCCCACTTCGCACTGCCCACATGCAGTAAGGCTGCATAGGCGGATCTCATGCATCCACAGCAGTTCATGTCAGTGGAAAACACAGCATTCCTTCTACGTTAGATTTTAGTCTGCAGAGGAAAGGAGGTGATGACAGATTCAATAGAGTCTGAGAAGAAAAAGGGAGGCAGGGGGAAACACATTATCGCAGTCGTTTGTCCTTGACAAAGCACCTGTTCGATTACTAAAAAAAAAGTCCGTGTTTTTTTTATATATTTATAAACATGTATATTGTATTTTAAAAAACAGCACCGAAACCAAGCGAAAAGCTCCTGTCGCCGCTTGCAATTGCCCGACACACCATCTGCTATCCGCGCCGTGTCCCCCCCTCATTCCCTCCCATCCTGCAGCCGAGCATCCTTCACCCTCCACGGTCACAATGTCAAACACCGAAGCGCGCTTCCCCCCCGCGGGGAACCGGAGGAATCCGTACCTTCACCAGCAGCAGAGCTGTCTCCCCATCCTCCGTCGTAGAGGCTCGTCGGAAATCCCTGCCCAGCTCCGTGCCACCGCCGACGGATGGAGGGCACAGGGCAGCAGATTGAGAGCGACCAAGAACCCACTCCGCCTCCCGCTCTAGTGCGCAGGCGCCGCATCTGACAGGTGATCACAATATATATCACGCACGGAAATTGAAATTAAAAGGGACAGTTTTTCCCCCTCCTTCCCCCGGAGTCACGTGTGATCAGCGGCGAATAAAACCTGAAGAGTTTTTTTTATTATTATTATTCCCATCCGCGTGGATGTGACTGCGCATTTTGCGTGGATGTTGGTCACATGAGCAGAGTGGTTTAGCTCTCTCACTGAGGGCTAAAACCAATTCATGAGAGCAAAATCAATTCATTTTGTTTTTAAGCTCCCCTATAGGCAGTTTATTGTCAAAAGCTTGTGTTTATGTATGAATTTAAATTAATATGGGCCTATTTTCATAAAATAGACCCATGTCCTTTTCTGTTGTGTATTCCTGTTTTGCATTAGTCTAGTTTTAGTTATTCATTGCAGTTAAATAACAAGCCACATGTTCCCACTATTTCCATCCATCCGTTATTACCCACTTCTTCCTTTCAGGGTCACACGTGCCCATATCCAGTCACTATGCACAAGTGTACACCATGGATAGGTCACAACAGGGCCACATGAAGACAAACATTCACTCTCTCACTTACAAGTTACCAATTAGCCTAGCATGGTTTTTGGCCTGTGGAAGGAAAGAATGCCCTGAGAAAACCCACACATGCACAGAGAGAACACACAAACTCTACCCAGGTGCCCGATGTTCTGCTTGCAGGCAACAGCTTTTTACCAACTGAGCCACCATGCCACCCTTGACCATTTTATGTGATAAATAGAAAAAATGTGTTTGTATTCTTATAAATAATTTTGTATCTCAGTTATTTTAAAGTGATATTTCCAACGTTTTGAAATTGGGCTCTGTGAAAATTTTCAGAAGAAGAAATAACCTCTGTTTGGAGAAACATTTTAATTTTAATTAACAAACTGATGATTAGTCCCAGCAGACTCAAAATCAAGTGTTTTAGGCTGCACCAAACATGCATGAATATCATAGGAAAGTTTTAAACTGATAATGTTGTGAAGGTTTAGAAAATAACGAGTATGAATCACAGCTATGGTCTCCAAATTATGACTGTTCAGGTAAACAAGAAAACATTTTACTAAACAGCTCATTTTTGTGTCAATTTATCTTTTTTTAAGTTTTTTGATTGATTGATTGATTGATTGATTGATTGATTGATTGATTGATTGATTGATTGATTGATTGGTTGGTTGATTGGTTGATTGATTGATTGATTGATTTCAAGTCAGTCAGAACAAAATTATACATTAATCACATTAGATTCGAATGAGAGAAAAAAGAATGAAAATCAGTTTATAATAACTAATACACTCAATCCATTAAAAATACGATAAAGAATACAATATAACTAACTCAAATAGGAGTGGGATGAAGACAAACTTACTCCCACCCCCATTCACACATTTTTAAATAAATGCCACAATTACAGGTTAAACAGGTTAAACTCATTGTTATAATACTTTTTGTCATAACCCAACATACATTACAAAATTACAATTGCCTCAATACTACATGGTACTATGTGTAAATAATAAGTCTTCTCATATCATAATTGTCTCCCAGTTTTGAACATCATGTTTAGCTGCAAGCACAATGTCTGACCAATAGAATGATCACAAGAGATGCCAGGACCAACTGCATTTATTCAGTACTTTATCTTTTTTTCCCCCTAAACATTGATTTTTTTTTATGAACACAAATTAAAAGTAGGACACTTGGTGTTATTTTGATACTCAACAAACACCCTGAGGCATGAAGCTTCAGGCTGAGTAACCTTGTTTCTCTTTCCATCATTTGGCACATATTCTGTCGTTTCTCCAAAGATTTTAACTTACAGAGATGAAACAAAAAAGAAAAGAAAAGAAAAAACAGTGATCCTTTCATGATGCGTTTATCTTGAATAAGAAACACTTTTTAAAGTTAGAGCATTTTGTGTTTCATGATCATTTAATGCATCACTTAAAGGGATCCCCGATTAGTTGGGACATTAGACTTTATTTGATAAACATATATTTTAACTATGAAATAAAGACTGTAAAAATACTGTAGCCTGTTTAGTTTTGTACATTTTTTTAAAATATATTTTAACACGGACGAAGCCATTTTATTTACATGCAAAGCATTCTGGGTAAATGATGACGTGGTTAGGTCATCGGGGCGAGGCTGCTAGCGAGCTATATCCACCCTGAAGGTTAATCTTGGACAATATCTGATGATCGGCTCTTTTAAATGAAACCAGAGAGCGTTGACAGAGAGGAGAAGGTAGATATGACTCAACCTGTAACTGAAAATGTGGATGGAGGACAACAGAGCTGCTTCATGGAAGAAGAACCTCAGCCTGTTAGTCTTTGTGCTAGCACTGACGCCATATTGCCTTATACCGTATGTATTAGCTCGGTGCTAGTGCGACAAACAAGCTAAACTGAGGTCCTCCATATTTTCAGCTGCAGGCTGAGTCATTTCTACCTTCTCCTGTCTGTCAACGTCCAAGATTAACCTTCAGGGTGGATATGGCTCGCTAGAAGCCTCGCACCGATGACATACCCATGTCATCATTTACCCAGAATGCTTTGCATGTAAATAAAATGGACCCGTCCATGTAATATATTTATAAACTTTTAGTTTAAAAATTATAAAAACTAAACATCCTACAGTATTTTTACAGTCTTTATTTTACAGTTAAAATATATGTTTATGAAAAGAAGTCTAATATTACAACTAATCGGGAATCCCTTTAAAACACATTCAAAGCATTATAAAATGTATCCCTTTGACATATTTTTACCAAATGATTTAGAAATGACAATGCAATATTTAAGCTGGTATATCAATTAAAGACGAAATGACAAATAAAACTTAACTCTTTACATAACCTTTTTATAAAATATGATAATTCGTGAACAATCATATTGGAGCTGCTAGGTTTTGACAGTTACTTGCCCCCACACCAACATGCACCAATCATAAAAACACAGTTGATGTGTGGAAAGCGTGAGTGGGATGTGTGGGAATAATAGAGAGCAAGTGTTGTGTGGGTGTGTGGAAGTTACGTCACATGTGATGCATGAGCAACAGAATTGCCACAATGCTTTTTCTCTTTGGAAAGTGCCAGATTTGGCTTCACTACACACACTCACTCATTCACACACACACACAGGAAACATTCATCAGGGCAATCTCCATCTGGGGGGATAGGTTGTAACTTTGCTGTAGGCTCCTGCATGGTCCGGAAATTCACCAAGTATCCTGATCTTTGATTGCTTATCTCTGCCTCATCCTCATATTCAGCTCCGTTTTTCTTTTTATGTGACTATTTCTGCTTTTTGTGGTGTTTCAGAGGAAAGCTCCTAGTCAGTTAATATGTATTTATTGTATTCTTTCAGAAGTCATCAGTATGCTCAATTCTGGTAACAGATGATGCCCAAATAGTTTATACTGACAAAAGGCTTGTTTTTGTTTTAAAGTACACTAGACTACTGTTTTTTTTAGATTCTCAGCTTATCATCAATATGCATTATTATTATTATTATTATTATTATTATTATTATTATTATTATTATTATTATTATTATTATTATTATTATTATTATTATTATGCATGCCAATATTGGGGGTGCAACAATACATTGATCCACATCAATATATTGATTAAATGATTAATGATTCATTTAAAACACTGATACATATCATCTTCATTTCCCTGATATGGATCAATATGATATGCCCAAATAATTGTGTTAGATGGGCATATGATGTTGCATCACATTGACTGCAGACTTGTGGACTGAACTGCATTGAAATTGTGTTGTGACAGACATTGTAAAATTGAAAAATATTGTATTGTCATCCAATATAATCATACTGTGACAAAGCTTGTGATTTACAGTCAATATTTATATTTAGCTATCACATAATAACTGATGTGTTCATTATAGGCCTCAGCTTGGTGTAGTGAAGCTCAAGTTAACCCGGAGTAAAATGGAAGATGATCTGCATAGAGAGAAACCTATCCGTAGCAAAGTTTAAGGGTTTGATACTCACACAGCGAGGTTAGCAGGTGATGAGCCATGCAAATACATTCACCCAATAGGTGAATCAGCAGTGCAGCTAATCCCAAAGTCTTTTGACTTAAAGTGTCTTAAACATCAGGGTTTTATAAGCACAAATTAAGCTATCCCACCTCCTTAGTGCAAATCCATTCGATTACATAACAGTTTACATGTATTTGTTTATCAGAAGTTTTTGGTCAAAATTACTCAAAAGTAAAAAATACAGGGGATCAATATTAAATCTAAAATTCACACATGACTTTTACACTAACAGAAGATCATCTGACTATTGTTAACAGAAAAAATGGTTTTTATTCTTAAATCTATTTTTTACTAATAAAGATATGAGGATGTGTCCCATGGTGGAGGTGACCACATGCTTTGTCAGTTCTCTTTTCTGCAGTACTGCCTTTTTGCTCATTCAAGCATTCTTGATTTGAAAGATGCACTAAAACAACACTTTTTCATCTTTCCACAAGTGAGCATCATCCTGGCACTCTCACTACCTTCCTCAGCCACTCTTTCTATTTCGTTACCCGAAAGTGGATAAACAAATCCCCGAAATAGTCTTTATCTCACTCCGAATTTCATTAAGCTGACACCATCAGTGTTGCTTAACAGATTCCAACTCCCTCAGCTGGATTTTCAATTGATCAAACTGCAAATTTCAGTTACAACTAGGCTTTTTGTTTTTTTCAGGCTCAACGGTTTGGCAAAGAGACAAAATAACACACCTTTGACGTTGACCCTTAAGGAAGGCAAAGCAATTTTTCCCCGGCATGGTTTTCTCTGGAGGAGAGCCGGTGTTCTGTGGAGCCGTCTGCATGGAGGTGTGTGTCGCTGTCCTCTCAAAGTTTTAGTGCTTGTAAGTTTTTTTTTTTTT